AATGGGACTATTGGTCACTGCAAGGTGCCTAACTGGACATGTCCCGAAAAGGCACACACACACACACACACACACACACACACACACACACACACACACACACACACACACACACACACACACACACACACACACACACACACACACACAAACATTAACACATTCAAAAACAGAAGGAGTCAGGACCAGGACATCAGAAATTAATTTGTGCAGCTTTAGGGTTCAGCGGGTCTCTTTAATGATTATTGGTCTCCACAAGGATCAATTCTGGAAAGGTCCCAAAAACGTAACAAAAACCATCGTGGATACACACACACTCACATATGCACACAGAGGCAGCCACAGATCCACCTGTCTCTGCCAAGACTGGACTCTGAGCCAGTGATGGACATCAACAGACGTAACAACGGCGTCATCGCATTCACACACACACACACACACACACACACACACACACACACACACACACACACACACAAGGCACACATGTTACCGCAGGGCACTGCAGAGATAAGACACAGATTCATGCCTCCCCAGCGTGACAGTGACATCACCCCCCACCCCCACCCACCCCTAATGCTAGAAAGACACCAGCCTAATATAGTCAGTGTAGAGCACGTATACACTTAGACACACTCCCTGAAAGGGACAGCAGCGGGGGGGGGGGGGGGGGCAGTCGGTCGGTCGGTCGGCCAAATTTCCATCTCCTGTCCTTGGTTGGTAATAAGTGTGTGTGTGTGTGTGTGTGTGCGCGTGTGTTAGTGCATATTACCCTGTAATAACCCTTAGTGACACACACACACACACACACACACAGACAGACAGACAGACAGACACACACACACACACACACACACACACACACACACACACACACACACACACACACACACACACACACACACACACACACAGGGAGAGCACCTCTGAGCCTGCAGAAACACCCAGAACCTGCAGCTGAACCTGTAATGCCATAATGCCTTTAGGTATTTAATTACATCACACAAACATACTTTAATTGTGATGCAATGGTTAACTGTCAGGTTGAAATATGTAAAGTTGTATCAGTCATAATAACAGTCGTACAAGTAGGGTACGACATAATCCCACTCTCTTTCTTCCTTTTCTTCCTTTGACCAATTCACTTCCATTTTCATGTCATAAGTGTCTCTCTGAGGAGTCACAAACTGAGTCAAATTTGCGGAGAAATATCTCTAATCTCTCCATATTTCATTTTTAATTAACACCAGTGATTTCATAGTTTAATCACAAGAGTCAGGGCGACGATTTATTGCTGGGTTGAAGCAACTCTATATCATGTATACAAAGTTTTGAATGAATAAATAAAACTACAAAGATGTGAATATAGAACTATCATTAAATAATGGATGAATTTGTTGGTATTGCTCTAAAAAAAGTAAAATATTTTCTTCTTAATTACAGCAGAAATGCATCTAAACTGTAATTTATAGTTTTATAATCAACCTTTTACAATCTGTAAAAAAATCAGGAATTACAAATAAAATTGTTCTAGTGTAAACACATATCTTACATGTGTGTTCATGTTTTTGTTTTGTATGCGAGCACTGTGATTCATTTAAAGGGCTTCAGCGATGCAGCGCTCCACCTCATCGTCCCTGCCCTGTGACTCCCTCTCCTCTCCACTCCGCTCCTCCTTTCCTCTCTGTCCTCCCCCCTTCCTCTTCCTCTTCCCTTCAGAGGTGTCAGAGGAAAAACAGCTTCAGTATGTCTCTTTGTCTCTCACTCACTCTCTCTCTCTCTCCTCCGCAGCCACACAACGCTGGCTTAGTGCAGGCGGTGACTCGGCTGCTGGCTGGCCCACTCACAGGATATAAGAGCTGTGCGAGCCCTGCCAAGACGGTGAGGGGTCACACATTTGTGTGTGTGTGTGTGTGTGTGTGTGTGTGTGTGTGTGTGTGTGTGTGTGTGTGTGTGTGTGTGTGAGGATGGCTGGTGGCTGTCTGAGCAGCAGACGCCCTCATCCTGACGCTCGCAGGGCGGAGAAGCCCTCTTGTGAAACATTCCACTCCGACCAGCGTTTCCTGTTCTCACTTCCCGTCCTTCCCTCTCGCTCCTCGCCTGCCTTTCCTTTTTTACACCCGTCCCACCTCCTCTGCCTCGCCTAAACGCCTCCACAACGCCAATGCATTTCCCACCCACCCCATCCTCCGCTGCTCCACGCCCCGGCCTGGCTCCAGCCCCCCTCGCCCCAGACTGGTGGACTCCCTTTGAGTTTCCTGGAGAACCACCTTCTATTATCAGAGCGACAAAATGCTGCTGAGATCACCGGGTCACTGTGGCCGTCAGCCTGAACTCCACCTACCTCTCTGCGTTTAACAATCTGCTCAAAAGGAACTTTATGTCATTTTAAGGATATTTATCTTTCAATAAAAACCTGATTTTGTTCAACAAATGTCACCCAAGTTATTTAAGTTCCGGCAACAACGCCACCTTTAACCTTCCCAACAGTACATTATTTCTTCTTGACCACTTGACCTTAAACAGAAAACTCATCTGCAGTGCACTCAAACGATGCAATTTCAGTCAGAGTAATAACTAGGGAGCTTGGTTCTCCATCCAAATACTCACATTGAATGTTTTCTGTAAATATGTTTGACATGACGACAACCCAATTACAGTATGGATCTTTTTTTTTTTTTTTTTTACATAATGCCAATCAACCGGTCTCTGTAGTGCAACAAACTAAAGCCTTTATTCGTCAATAGCTCATGAGGGATACAGTTGTTATTATCCCTCAAATTCATGCGGACTTTGATTGAAGCCAAACATCATCAAAGCTTTTGAGACACTTCACATGTTTACAAACCAGACACAGATTTCTCAAATATCACATATAACTTATGGACTGCATACACAAATGAAGAATGTAAGCACGTGATCACAGGAGCATCGATGGACATGCAGCATAGAGTTCGTCTTCTTCCTTCAGCAAAATGACAAATTATCTTCAAGCAACAACAGTGAGAGTCAGGAGCGTCTCCAGGATCTCTGGGCCCCATCTCCACCACAGCCTCAGCCAACCCCGTGATATGGCTATAACCACACCTCCAAAACACAAATGACCCGTTAAACGATTCAACTTAAGGTCGTCGAAATGTTCCTCCTTCAGAACTTACGATCCAACGAATTATCAACCAATACAGTCTGTTTTATTTGAATAAAAGTCACAATGAAAAAGCACTGAAGCTTTGGAAAACTGCCTATTTCATATGCAACGTGTGTGAGAAAAGAGCTCGTTAAAATTTGAAGGCAAGCTCCTGCACACTGTTTAAAGTAAAGCTGACCGATTCATCTGCCTGCCGATACTATCGGCCGATATTAGCGTATAAAGTGACTATCAGTATCGGCTAATTTCATCGCAGATATGCGCCGATATTACTGGATTTATTCACAAGTCAAATAGCATTTTAATTTAAGTTTCATTGTATTACACTAGCAGTTATCTTTTACCAGCAGAGGGCGCTATATGGATTACAACAAACATCATCACTCTCCAGAGTGTCGAGCAGTGATGCATGTACATGCTCAGTTACTTTCCAGTTGAGTCACCATCTTGTCTTCGTTATAAATCTTTTCCACAAGTGTTTGATAAGGCAATAAATGTGTATATCTAAATCTATCTTTCTCTAAAGATGGACCATAGCTCAAGGAAAGATATTGACAGATTTATCTGCACCGGATTTTCCCAAATCGGTCGGGCCTTAGTCTAAATATTTTGGTAATAAAACATTGCTAAAGTATTTGTGCAAGTAAGACAGTGTGCAACTTTTGTTCTTTAAAAACAAGAAATTACAGAATATTTGGTGTTGAGGACTTCTATATTTTTTTTTGCTATGGTATCGATATTGTTTGATTGTTTTTTTAAGTTTAAAATGTAACTAACTATAACTTGTGAAATGCATCTTTTTGTAATTTTAATCTTTTTACAAGCATCTAAAAGGTTTCTAAAATGTGTTTTTTAATTCAAAAGTTGAGTTAGTTCATTTATTCAGCCAAGTTTACCTCATCACCAATGAAATGCAAAACAAAGAAAGATGCCGGCTTCCTCCTAGCACCGTTTGCAACATCACTACGTCAGCCATCTCAGCTCTCAGCAGCTTGTCTGCATGCCAGTGTGATTTTCTGCAGAGTTTAGACACTTTCTGAGACTGTTTCCATCCCCATCTGATCAACCAAGAAGAATACACAACTCATTTTAACTTAAGTGTTTCTTCGAAATGCCAGCAAGGAGAGGAGACTCTCTTGTGTTTCTTCCCTCAGTGTCTCCGTTCTGGGGGCTTCTCAGCAGGCTGACTCACAGCCCCGGCCCACTCCTCCCTCCCACTCCTCCTCCCACTCAGAGCCCCAGCCGTACCCCAGCGTGGGAGGCAGCGCAGCCCAGGACCAGAGCCTCCGGCTGGGCACACACACGCAGCCAGCACCGGGCCCACGGCTCTGGAGCTTTGGCTTTCATTTCCAGCACCCACACAGAAACACAAAAACACACACACACACACACGCTGCCTTCCCACATGCAGTACCCACACTGATTTTTTTAGAGCACCTTTTTTAATGATGTCATGTGCCTCACATCTGAGGGAGCAGAGGAAGGGGAAACACGTGGGAGTGTGTGGGCTGGACACGCTCGATGTGTGTGTTTGTGAATCATGCAGCCTGATTATTATTTTTCTGGGTTTACATTAAGTCAAATGTCTGATGTGCACATGGCTACTGTACTGAGCCGAGGTATCTTTAAATACACAGCTACAGGGGAGGATTTTGATCTAATGAAGGGACAATGATGAGTGATGTGGATGCATTAAAATGTCCTGAAGTCTTTTGGCCCAGTGTGAAATCTTACGCACAGATATCTCATGTATGCCTGGCTCCTGCTGCCAGGGTTAACTTTCCCACTTGATTACTGAATTCACAGTTTCTCTGCAACAGTTAGTAACATAGATAATGTGTGATCTCCTTACCAGCAGGACAGGAACGCTCAGCTCAGTCTTTGCTTTCTTCCCACCGATGATGTGCACGATTTTGAGGCTGTGAAAGACAGGTGGCATAAAGGATCACGTCACTCACATCGTCTCCTCACACCTTTACTGAAGTAAAAGTCAGACTCACAAGAAAATTGAAAGACTTGCACAAAGTGACACGTCTGATCTGTGAAGAGGAATATAATATTCAAGAGGGTCCAGATTGCTCATTAGAATATCTCACATTTGTGTGTGGCAGGCTTTTAGTCTGCAGCGTTGTTCCAGAAACACTCTTCTCTGTCCAATACCGACCGGGATGCTAACCCCAGTCTGTCCGCTTAAAAATTAACATTTCTGTGCAAGTTTTCAATGCAGTAGCACCTTTAAAAAATAGATATACATCCACTGCAACAAAGCCCTGAAATAGCTCAGTGTGTTTCTCTGTTTACAGACATTTAACTGTTGATGCTGTCAGAATAAATCACAATGTGACACTTCATTTTATCAGAGCTCACTCAGAGTGATTTCTGACTGTGCAACACATCAGAGTGAGGCTGCGAGATCCTGCTGAGAGTGACTACATCTCCACACTGCAGCTCCAAATGTACGACTTTACAGACATTTCATTTAGACTTTGGGATGAAGTTAACTTTCTCCCGAGCTAAATGCTCCATTGTCTGAATGCAACACAGAGCCAATGAAAAGTTGAGATTTTTTTGGGAGATTTGAACTATACAGCAATGACAAGTATTTGACTGCAAAAGACATTAATGTACAGATACAACCTAAATCATCATAATTGCAATGCATGGCTGCATTTTTAAAAAAATAAATGTCCTCGTAGAAACACAATCGGACATTTTTTGGGAGACCATGTGTGCAACTTAAAGCGTTTTTATAATACTTAGGACGAGTATTTTATGAGATTAAATTAAGTTCTTCTAGAAGATAAATATATTTAGAATGATTTAAACACAACATGGTAAAATACATCTGGATCTTTACATGATTTTATTCATAATAAAAACAAGTTTTGCGTGGAGAAACAAATAGACCAACATTTGTAAGTAATCATTTGTAATTATATGCTAAATTAAGGACTGTTATTAGTGGCAGATTAATAACTGATTTGCAGCAACGTGTCACAAGCTCCCCCTGTTGGATGCAGAAACACTGTATGTGAGAGTGAGCGTGCATGGTTTTAATTATAATCCTCTGAGAGAGAAATGATCGTAAAAATATGCAAAAATGTTAATAATGAAATATTCACTGTCACTCAATTTGCATGATACTTGCATAAAACAGCACAGCATCACTGATTCAATTATTTCTTAGAAAGCCAACGCAACACCCCCCACACCACCACTCACTCTCGCAAATCTTCCCCTTTCTGAAAGTCTCTCCCCCCTCTCTCTCCCCTTGTCTCTCCCGGAGTCACGGGGTCTCCCCCCGGGGTAAACGCATTCCAAAACACAAGAATTTCCTCCAGCCCGACTCGCATACCACCTCTCCCTCCCTTTCTCCCTCCCTCCCTCCCTCTCTCTCTCTCTCTCTCTCTCTCTCACTCACTCACACACAGGCAAGCACGCGCACGAACACACGCGCACGTGAAGAGTGCACAATGGTCTTGCCATAGCCGGAGGAGACCACACACTGTTGCAATGCCATGTTCAACAATTTCGCCGCGCACACTGCTGCACAAGCGCACAAACAACCCGAGCACAAGTCTCAATAATTGAAAATAAAAAACCTCAAAATGTAAGAATATTCTTTAAGATCAACGCAAGAACAGTTTAATCATGTTAAACAGAAATTTGGGGAATATTTCAAAGCACAAAAACATAAAAAAAAATCCAAATTGCCAATGCAAATCATGAACAAGAATTAAAAACGTGTAGTAGGCCTACCTGTATTCTTCGGTGTTTCGCAGCAGTTGGGAGTTTGAAGTTGGAGAAAAAAAAAGAGCCGATTTGCAGACACCTCTCGTCGCGTGCAGCTCAGCTCTCCAGATCAGTCCGCTGCACAGAAACACAAAAGAGCGAAAGCAAACATCACCGAGGGCTGCGCACTGAAGTGTCCGTGAAACGAGCTCAGACAGCCGCAGATATCTGCAGGAGAGGGGAGGAGGATCGATGATGTGTGTCGCTGTTTGCCGTCCTGATATTAGCTCTGACTCGCTCTCTTTCACTCTCTCTCTCTTTCTCTCTCTGTTGTGTGTGTGTGTGTCAGTCGGGTTTTTACCCCGGATCACTCGGAAATGCCCCAGCGACCTCAGAGTAAGAAGCTGGCTCCCCCAAAAACCTCCACTAGTTCTGTCCCCAGAGTCAACCTCAGACAGTCCGCAAAAAAAGACACCCCCCCCGCCTCCCCCCTCATGCTGCGGGGACTGTCCCCGGTGCGCCCGCGGACATTAAGACTGTCTGTGACAACAGAGAGAAAGAGAGAGAGAGAGAGAGAGAGAGAGAGAGAGAGAGAGAGGTGAGGACGAATGAGGGGGAGACAGAAAAGGGGGGGGAGACTGGGGCTCAAAAAAACAAAAGTCCTCAAGCATACCTTTGAAAAATCCGTCTTTTTTATGTTTTAACAAGAGAAAAACATCAATTTAAAGAAGCACAACATGCTTCAGTTCAGTTCATCCATTGAGGAAATTCACGAGCCAAATTTTAAGACTTTGAATCACAAATTTCAGCAAGTAGCAATAAAAAAAGAAGCTTCAAGGGACATTCTAGACCAAACAATCTTCCTCTGTCCTCTTGTTAATTTTGCACGTTTATGTTGAGGATTTAAAGATTTAATTAACAATTGTGTTTTTCCAGTAATACATTTCTATTTCTTTCCTGAACTTGAGACAAAATCATCTGAGCACAAAGGCTGCATATAAAGAAGCGGATGGATGTAATTCATCCATCAGAAAAACAGCAAAATCCAGAAGGTGTAAAGGAATTAAGAGGCAAATCATCAATTTTCTTCCTCTTCATTCTCCTTTTAATTTATCTGATTACAAAAAATAAAGAACCAGTAATTTACAGAGCTACTAAGTTGTAAATTTCAACTCCGTCTGAAGCTTTGCACAGAATCAGAAGGTATACATTTTCCTCGTCTTCGCTGCCCTGCAATCGTTAAGGTTCCCAGTACGGTTCCAGGAGGAAAATTTCCAGGTGGTCCTTTAAAAAATAAAAAAAGCTGAGCCGGAGCTAAACTAATTCAATCCCATTTAAGATCAACAGGTGAGTAAGGAAATACACCTGTTACAGATTCCCGTCCTCCACAGAAAGATTCTCAAATTATTCATGAGTGTATTCAAATGCTTAAAATGCTAATTTGAGACCCCCCCCCCCTTCTTTTATCGCTCCAGGGATACATCGCTCCTGTTTGACAATTTGAGAGTCTTAAGAACAGGAGAAATGTCAAAATTTGGCATTATCCCAAAAAAATAAAACATTTAAAGACCGGCTCCTTCCTCTCTCTCTTTTTCTTCCATTTTTTTTTTCTAATAAATCTTAACAGCTCAAAAAGGAACTTCCACAACTCTAACACCACTAAGAATAAAACATCAAAAATAAATCAAATTACAAAATCTTTGACGGTTTAATCCAGCAAATCCTCAGCGTGATTTTGGTATTTTCATCCAATTCTAAGTGCACACTAAACATGAAACATTTTCTACTCATAACTGGACTGATATCTCTCCTCTTCGTCTCCCTTTGGGGGAAATACACCTGCAGAGGGATTGTACCTGCTCACTCAGATTCACGCATCATTTGTATAAAGATTTCGAGATGGTGATGTGTTTCTGCTCACCTGCTCTTCTTCCTCTTGCAGACGTCTCATCATCGCTCTCAGTTTTTTTTTTTCAGCTTCGCTCTGTCACTTTCTGCAGCAGTTTGGGAAATTAACTTCTGTTTTCTCTGCTTCTTGGGTTTTTCTCTTTTTTTTTTCTCTTTCTTTCCCCACCCTCTTCTCGTTCTGCACCGGCACAGGTCTGAGGAGCTTTATGAGCTCTGTGAAGCTCACTGACAATATCGCCAACACGACGGTTCATATTGTGAAATTCCCTGAATAAATTACTGTGCCCACTCTTTCTCTTTATCTGCTCACTTATGACCTCAGTTTCTGGTATTTGGGATGGGTATTTTTTCTCTTCTTCAAACCTAAACTTCCCAGAAATATTTTCTATCAAGTGTATTTCTGTAAATCTTATGACCAAATTAGTTGAACCCCTTTTGTCTTTTTGTGGCACGAGAAGCTTTTCATGATGATCTCAGTCACAAAAGATGTCAGACGCAGCAGATTCTGAGGCAGGTTTTTGTCATGTCAAATCTGCATATGACGCACTTTTTGTCATGTTTCATTTCCTCACACGATTTCTGATATTTTCCTTTTCTTTTTTTTTTAACTACAACAAATTCACATAGAAGTTCTTTACATTCACAATTTGACCTTCAATTTTACTCGCTCAACTGAGGCGGAAAAATCAGGAAATCGCTCGGATGTTTTTGCTTCATCTTCCAAGCTAAAATAATTGTATTCTACTTGAATCAATTTGCAAAAAAAAAAGTGCAATTACAGAGGCGCTAATGTGAGAGGAAAGGTGTAGATTTTGTTTTTCCATCACACACAGAACACAAACAACCGTTCTGAGATTCAATCTGAGACATGCAAAGACCGGGCAATTGGGGATAATCCCAAATGTTCCACTTCTTGTTTCTCGGCAGAGGAGCTCTTGATTCTGTTTGTATTGATCTCATATTGATTCCAGGTCAAAACAAATCCCCCCACCCCTCCCCCAGTCCTCCACCCCCACTCATCATACACACAGTGTGCATGCAGGAGGACATCAGAGGTTGACCTGTAACGTCCACTGAACTCCAGTTTCTCTCTTGTTTCTGTCTGCACCGCTGCAGACGACAAACAATCTGATGAAATCTCAACCTGGGCCGTACCGACCGCGGCTTTGAAGTCGGAGATAAAGACGAGCATCTAATATTGCATCCATTAAAAAGCAGAAGGTTCAAGGTCATGTCTAAAGCAAGTTCCACTTTCCAGCGTTTTTTAAATCTTCCCCTAATTTAGATAATTTCAGGAAAAAGAGCAGCAGTATTTACTCAACAAATCTCATATTTTTCAGCTCTTTTTGTGCAATCAAGAAGATTTCCAGCATAGGTTCAAGGCACCTACAGGGGTCCTTGAGAAATTTCCAGGGGGTCTTAAGCAAGCTGAGTTCTACTTCATTTCCATTTAAGCTCAACAGGTAAACGAGGAAAGGCGCCTGTTAATCTTTCTCCCGGGAGATTCTCTCTTTGGTTCATTAAATCTCATCAGGGCTAAGTATCTCCTCAGCGACGCTTTCAGGCTTTTAAAAAAAGGAAGAAATGTCAAATGTTGACATTATCTTAAAACCATTTAACCACCTGCCTCTTCTTCTCACACTTAAACTGAATCCATTAGGAGTAAAGCCACGAAGAAGAAGCACACAGGTACTCTGGACACAAAGTGTTGTTGGATGCATGAAGTAAAAAGAGATGAAACCAAAGCAACTGTCCAGAAAAAAAACTCTGTGTGACATGATTGTTGGCGAACCGGTGAAGTTGAAGATTTCTGCATTCTTTTGGACGCTTACAAAGAGTGTTTTTGTTTTTACCATTTTAAAAGCTTTCTCGGCAGCTCAGTCCTGTTTGGTGTTTAAACGAAGCTACAAATCTAAAGCGACTCTGATGCTGTCAGACTTCAGGAATTTGTCACATGCAGAATTCCTCTTGACTTCCTGATGCTTTTTCTGAATATTTGACTCTTTGGCACGCCGTAGAACTCGTTTGGTTTACCAATGGACCGCATGGTGGTCAGGTTAGGATACCTGCAGCGCTGTGTGTTGGCTCTCAGGCATTTTGTGTGTGTGTGTGTGTGTGTGTGTGTGTGTGTGTGTGAGTGAGTGTGTGTGTGTACATTCAGAGGTGTAGTGTGTGTTCTCTCACTGTCTCCTCCCTGGGAATTCCCCTCCGTTCCCGGCTCTAACAGCCTGCTGGAGCCGCAGCTGTACATATGTGTGTGTGCGTGTGTCGGGATGTATACACAGTTCATTTCAGTGCACGTGTAGGCATGCGTTAATGTAAGCGTGCGTGTGTGTGTGCATGTGTGTGTGTGTGTTTCCTCCCTGATTCCCAGGGTTCTGCAGAGTTAAACCCTCTTAAATGTCCCCCTGGCTTTTGTCCTCACGTTTCAGCTGAATTTCCCCGCATTCATCCCACCATTCAGACTCTGTATGTTCGTGCGCTCAGGAATGCACTGGGTTTGACAGGCGCCTGAACCCGGTGTGTGTGTCTGTATGTGTACGTGTGTGTGTATGTGCATGTGCATGCGTGTAAATGAGCATGGAACAGAAAAAGAAAGAAAGAGGTACGGCGAGGTTTGGAAAGGGGAGTGTTTTTTTAAAACTTTTTTCCTCCGCCCTCTTTTGATGCAAAGGTGGACTTGGAAACACACAATCACCTTACCTTTGCACACACATGCTTTTCACCTTTCAATGCACACACACACACACACAAACACAAACACACACTCAACACCCACACACACTCGGAGTCACATGTGCTCTCACTCAAAGAGCTCTGCACCCACTCACCCTGACACCCACACAACCACCCACACACTCACGTGCACTGCCAAATAGCTCTCACTCTTTACCCTCCCACCCTGTCCCCTCCCCATCCACCACCACCAAGCACACATGTCAACACACACACACACACACACACACACACACACACACACACACACACACACACACACAGTTTAACACTAAGTGCCGTGCACACGCCTGATCTGGTTTCCTCTTTGCTTTGCGAGCGACCCGCAGTGATAAAATAAACACAAATACGTGATAATCACATTCCACACATTTCTCTCCTGCCGGTGGGAAGTTTCAACTGGTTTTCTGCAAGAGTTGGTTTGACTGTGTGTGTGTGTGTGTGTGTGTGTGTGTGTGTGTGTGTGTGTGTGTGTGTGTGTGGGTTGTGTGTAATAGAGAGAGAGCGAGTGTGTGCAACCCCAGAGAGAAAAAAGAAGAAAGAAAATGAGAGAGAGAGAGAGAGAGAGAGAGGGAACAAAGAGATCTCACACATTCCTCAGTACTGCCAATATCCTACCAGTATACCAGACCATCACACCAACACACACACACACACACACACACACACACACACACACACACACACACACACACACACACACACACACACACACAAGCACACGCACACACTGGCAGCAAACAGTGAGATCTGACAAAAAAAATATTCTAAATCCTGCTAAATGTGTT